AAGGTTTTGAATTAAAAATAAACCCTATAAGCATCCTGCACTCGATTCACCTATATAAGTATTATTCCCCGACATTTCCAGTGAAAACATCAAACTTTTCCAATAACACTAACAAGAAAATTATTAATATTTTATCCAATTCAATGCAGCCGTTCCTAAGAAATGCGCTGACAAACAATAGGGTAGATGCCTAATTTTTATTTTAATGTCCGTCTGGTAGATTATTTTAAATCATTAGAGACGTGGTTTTTATTTTCTTACAGAAACGAATACTTTCGACGATATATTAATTTTAAATGTCGCGTGACGTCACTTCTATGTACATTTTATACGTGGAAATGACGTTTTAGCCCCTACTCCTAAACTTTGATGCGTTTTATCTAAGTATTGTTTTATTATACGACAAAATAAAAAAAACACGTGTGTAATATTTTTTCATTACGTAATTGACGGATTAATTAGATTTTTAATTTTCATACCCTGTCATCATCCCAATTAGCCAAATCATTTTGTAGCTATATCAAATCAAATTAAAGTTTATTTACAAGTAGATATTGTATTGTCTATTATTGTTATCTACAACTGTACAAATATTCGTGTCTAGCGCAGTATACGCGCAATATCTGTGATCTAAAATTTGAACTATGTGTACCATAGCTGAGGTGTCCGAGTGGTTAAGGAGTTGGACTTGAAATCCAATGGGTTATACCCGCGCAGGTTCGAATCCTGTCCTCAGCGTTGATATTTTTATGGTAATTTAAAAGAAGCCTTGTTTTCCAACATTATAGCCCGTTGTTGGAAGGATTTGATCTAAATAAATATTAGTCGTCATCTTTTAAATTAAAAGATGATTGGGATCGTACTGTTATGTATATTCTTGTTTTCTTTATTACATCGTTTTGTATTGTAACTAGCTGCTACCCAAGACTTCGTCCGCGTAAAAATAATGGCTTCTGGTAGAAATTGTGCTTTTAATTAGTCTTTCGCATATATTTATATTCTACAGTCGTAACAAGTGTCATCAGAATCGATTATGTACCTAAGTTAAAGTGAAATGAATCTAACTTCGAGGTTGAAAAAAAAATCCGCAGGGGTTTTACCCATACAGTGCACGTCTCGTGAGGTTTCAGTAATAAAAACTATTATATGTTTACAAATCAATGTAGTACAAAATTTCATTGTAATATATATAGTCTACCCTGCCTCGTTGGCCAAGTGGTCGCAAGTGTGACTGCTGGGCAAGGGGTCTCGGGTTCGATTCCCGGGTCAAGCAAAGAATTACTGGGTTTTTAAAAATCTCAGTAGTAACAAGGAGTCTGGAAATGTGCCGGTATATGCAATAGGCTCACCCCCTATTACATGGGACTCGTAACATAAATAGTGATAAGTGGGTGTTACATTGTACAGTGGCATTAAGTGCCGTAATGTGCACTTCTGCCTATCTCTTCGGGGATAAAAGGAGTGATGTTATGTTATGTTTAGTCTACCATACGTCTCTACGTTCACCTGTACTTACACTATTCCTTGACTTTTCCGATCAAACTTTTCCAACAACGCTGACCAAAACTTAAAAATTAATTATTGTATCCAATTCGATGCAGCCGTTCCTAAGAAATGCGCTGACAAACACTTTGCCAAATCATTTTATAGCTAGGTCAAATCAAATTAAAGTTTATTTACAAGTAGATATTGTATTGTCTATTATTATCTACAACTGTACAAATATTATTCGTATCTCTAGCGCAGTATACGCGCAATATCTGTGATCTATTATTTAGACATTATGTACCACAGCTGAGGTGTCCGAGTGGTTAAGGAGTTGGACTTGAAATCCAATGGGTTATACCCGCGCAGGTTCGAATCCTGTCCTCAGCGATACTTTTTAAATTTTCTATTGATATCTAACATTTTTTGTAACTTTAACATATAATTTTTAATAATATTTTAATAACATTTCTGAACATTTATATATTTTTTAATTAACATTAAACTGTCAAACACCAAGCGGTCACCGGTGACCGCAACCTATTGTTCTATAATAATACTATAATGACGGTACCCAACAAGTTAATAAATAATTAATATTAATATTAATTATTTGTTATTGAAGCGAAAGAGGTATGTAAGAATCGTAGTAATTGGCGTTCCTTAGTCTCTGCCTACCCCCATGGGAGACAGGCGTCAAGTTATGTATGTATGTATGTAAAATTAATAAATAAATAATAAAAAACATAATAACAAATTAACATTAATAAAATTTCCAAATCATTGATATATGATTCACAAGATTTTAAACTGTCAAACACCAAGCGGTCACCGGTGACCGCAACCTATTGTTCTTTAATTGTGTCTATAATGACGGTGCTCGACGAGTAAAAGAGAGAATGCATATTTATTTTGACATCAAAAAAACAACACAAATTTTCCGTTAAGTTTCACAAAAGTGTAGATAGATGAAAAAGTGCAATCGCAAACTAAATATAAAAAAAAAATTGCTACAAAAATAACACTCCTGTCGGATGTAAACCAATTCGCAGTCAAATCATAGCTTAGATGTACTCAGTAATTATACATAATGTTCAAGGTTTCCTACACAAACTGTTATTTTGTCAATTATAATAATAATAATAATAATAATATATGCTTTATTGTACACCACACAATTGTAATACAGGACAATATTTCCTAAACCAAAATAGTGTACAATGGGCGGTCTTATCGCACAAGGCGATTTCTTACAGACAACCTTTGGATGGAGCAGCAACAGGAGTCTGAAATGGGTCGTCGAGTGTACATTAATTAATATCTGTATAAAATACTATACATACATACATACAAGAATACTAAAAAAAAATAAATAATATATATAAAAAACAATATGATACATATATTACAAAATGGTGTGTGTTGGTGTATGTGTGTGTGTGTGTGTGTAGGTGTCTGGTTAAGATAGGAAATAAAATTATAAAGAGAGGTAATGCTCTTTAAGAAGTTTTTTAAATTGCGATATAGTTTGAGCTCGCCTCACTGTTATCGGTAAAGCATTCCACAACCGAGCTGCTTGTACTGTAAAGGATTTGTCGAAAAAGGAAGTGGAATGCAAACAAATATTTAATTTCAGACTTTCCGATGATCTCAAAAACTTCGAATGTGTGTCGCCAAGGTACGTAAAACGATGTTTTAGATAAATAGGGGTAGTGGGATTAAAGAGTATATTGTACAAAACTGAAAGAATATGAGTATTCCGGCGAAGACGAATAGGCAGCCATTTGAGCTTGTTGCGGAACTCGGATACGTGGTCATATTTGCGCAAACCAAATACAAACCTGATAGAAAGATTTTGAAGTCGCTCAAGCTTGTCTAATTGTTCTTGGGTGAGATCAAGATAGCTGGCATCAGCATAGTCGAGAATTGGTAGAAGTAGGGATTGTGCTAATGCAATTTTTGTAGTAGTGGGCAAGAAATTCCGAAGACGCCTCAAGGAGCCCGCCGAGGCAAACACCCTGCGGCTGACCTCCTGCATCTGTTTAGACCAAGACAGAGTGCTATCAATGTAAATCCCCAAGTTCTTAACCTCACTGGAAAAAGGTATCTTGGTGTTAAGTAGACATACTTGGGGAAGAGTGGACCAGTCTATTTTACAGACAGTCCTTGAACTGCCGACAACCGTCACTTGCGTTTTTGATGGATTGATACGCAGCCCGAACTTCATGCTCCAGTCACTAATTCGCTCCATGTCACGGTTGACCAGTGCAACAGCATCGGGTAATTCATGCAGCGAAGCATGTGTGTAGATCTGTAGATCATCGGCATAAAGGTGGAAGGAAGAAGAGAGTTCATTAGAAATAGAGCTGATAAATAGCGTAAAGAGTAAAGGAGATAGAACACCTCCCTGCGGCACACCGGAAGCAGTACAACACCATGAAGAATAACGATCCTCACAATGAATACGCTGCCGGCGACCAAATAGGTAGCTACGAAACCAGTCAATCACTGATGGGGATATGTTAAAAGTGCTGAGCACGCCAAGCAATATTTCGAAGTCGACGGTATTAAATGCATTACTAAAATCGAGCAGGACAAGTACCGTCAACTTCCCCATCTCCATGCCTGACCTAATGTCATCGGTAATATTTACGAGAGCCGTGGTGGTGCTGTGACCCGGACGAAAACCAGATTGGAAGGGGCTGAGGAGATTATGCTTGGTAAGGAAAGAACTGAGTTGATAATGGATTAGTTTTTCTAGAATTTTGGACAGAAAAGGAAGAATGGATATAGGACGAAAATCGGAAAAAGAAGCAGGATTTGGTTTCTTAGGAAGAGGGATTACGTGAGCTTCCTTCCAAATCTGAGGGAAAGCTCTGTTGGAGACTGAGGAATTTAGGACAAAAAGGATGATTGGAGTTATTTGATCGAGGATAGGAATTATCATTTTGCGGCTTACACAGTCACCACCAACGGCATTCGAAGTCGTCGATAGAATGCTTTTCCTAACCTCACATGCAGTAAACTGACTGAAGACGAACGGAGGAAAATCAGGTATCGGAAGAAAAGAAAGAAAGTTTAAAGTGGAAGTTTTGGTGGCCATATCTAAAGCAACTGAGGAAGAGAAGTGAGTGTTAAGAGAGTTAAGATCTAGATCTTTAGGTAAAGGGTCTTGATTAGGTTTACCGATTCCTAGTGATTTGAGGAATTTCCACACTTTAGCCGGATCACCATCTTCAACTGATCTATGGATGTGTTGGCGTTTAGCATTCCTGCACACCTTGTTGCACTGATTTCTAATCCTAATGTATTTTTCCCTGTTGCTGTCACTAGGCTGGATCTTAAATTTGAATTTTGCAGCAGCTTTTTTGGCAATCAGGTTCTTTATTTCGTCAGTTAGCCAAGGTGCTGGGAGATGCTTAACCCTGACGGCCTTGACAGGAGCGTGTTTGTCGTATAGTTTTATAAGAGTGGCAGTCAGGAATTCAACCTGTTCGTCAACCGATGCCGCCTCAGCCAGAGGTTTCCAGTCAATGTCAGCAGCATCCTCCCGTAGACGCTCAACATTCATGCCCTCAAAATTGCGGAGATAGAGAGTTCTCGACTTATGCTTGGGTGGGCGAATTTTAAAGGAAGTATAGATAAGGTCGTGATAAGAGAAGGCGTCAGCTGGACACTGGCCATGTTTGGCAACGTGGTTTGGGGAAGAAACTAAGATTAAATCAAGAAGCGAAGGAACTGAATTAGGGAAGTGGTGAGTAGCCTTGAGGTCAAGGATAGAAAGATTGGTAGACTTAATTAAACGGGAAAAAGAAGTGGAACGCGAGTCGTTTTTTAAGAGACATGTATTAAAATCCCCCATAATGATACAATGATCATATGAAGGTACAAATGTTTCCAGGAGTTGCTCGAAGGAGGAGAAGAAATTTATACGCAAAGAAGGACAGTAATACACGCCAAGAAGAATTTTAGCGTGATGTAACTCAACCTCCAGAAAAAGGTGTTCACCAGCGTTCTGAGGAGGGGGCTGCGTGGACATGTTCAATATGTTAAAGGAGATGTTATTACGGAGATATATGGCCACACCACCCCCACCCCCAACCGCACGATCATTCCTAATCATATTGAACCCAGGAAGAGAATAAGAGGAAGAAGGGAGACAAGGTTTCATCCAAGATTCGGACACTAGAATTGCATGTATATTTTTAGATTGAAAAATTGCCAGCATATCGGGGTAGTGAGCCGGAATACTCTGGGCGTTAATGTGAACCACATTGAAGTTCTGCGATACATCAGAAAATATAGAAGCGAGTGTCTCATGTAAGGACGGTAAGCTGCAATAACTGTCATCGTCTGAAGTTAGAGATAAGAATGTATCTGAGTCATTGCTACTACAATCAGACATGGGTGTGTAATGTGTAATTCCTATCAATATATAAAAATATGTAAAATAGATACAAATAATGCAATATAAAAACAAAGCTGAAATATTATTAATGTGTGTTTCACACAATCCAGTATAGCACTCCACCTGCCAGTTAGTCTGTAAGAATCATAATATAAGAAAGCAAACAACAAATAGCAAAAGATAACCAGAAAAGCAATAAAAAACAATAAACAACTAAAAAGAAATAAATGAAATAACGAAGCAGTGGTAGTTTAGGCTAATAATAGAACTATTGAATAAAAAAAAAATAAGAAAAAAAAAAAATACTATGTCACACAATAACATGCCACCCAAAACACATGCATGCAGTACGTGGAACGAAACGCAGAATAAAGAATGACAGATAAATAATGACATGAAAGTGACAGTGACAAATGAGCATGTAAACAGTAAAATTCTACTACCTTAACGAAATGAATTATGAAAAGAAATAATAAATATTATGAAGTGAAGGTAATGCGACAACATTACAAAATAAAAGAATACCCAATTAACCCAAACTACCCATAGAAAGTGACTTAAAAACAAATATACTTTATTTTCGTGATGCTGCTGCAGCACGCCTTGCCCTGGGCACGGCGTTTCTTCCGGCAGCTGCAGTGACAGGCTGTGCAGCACCCCGCTCAGGCGGTTGGGGCTCAATCTTCTCGAGGTCGTCCATGGATGTCACTCTGTGTCGAGCGCCCTTCGAGTCCAGGACATATATAGTGCCCTCCCTCGTCCAGCATTGATTGACGCCAAACCTCTCTCGAGCTGCCATGAACGTGTTGTGACGTATCTTTGTCAAAAACTCGGAGATGGTAACGCCCGAGCCCTTGCACTTAGTCTTTCCACGCCAGATGTTGTCACGGAGAGCCACATCGTGAAGCTTGAGCAAAATGGGTCGAGCCTTTTGGGAAACTCGACCCATCCGGTGACACCGCTTGATGTCGGAAGGCTTTATGTCAAGTTTGAGGCGGTCCTTGACAACCTGTACCACCACCTGGGTAGTATCCTCTTCCTTAGGTTCGGATTCCGACACACCATGCAGAAGTAATATCTTACGCCGGCTTCGCATTTGCATGTTGTCCATGCTCTGCACCACAAAGTTCACCTGCTGCTGGAAAACACTGAGAGCCTGCATGATGAACGTCCGGAAAGCAATGTACTCCGGTGACAGTCCCGGCGTGGCTGCATTATTCTTATGCTCCTCCTCAAAGTCAGCCATGCGTTGTTTGAACATGCTGCTCATTTCAAACACTATGCGTGTGAAATCATCCATGACTCAATCCAAGTGCAAGTTTAATTTTCAGTGCCAAAGTGTTGTTGCAACTAGTTGAAAATACTGGACAGGCAGGTAGCACCAATTATTAATGTATTTAAAACATTTAGAAGATAATAATGTAATTTATCTAATTATAATTAATTTCCAAAACTTAGCTTTACTATTTTGATGTTTACTAGGCGACTACCCGCGAATTTTTCTATTATACTATACTAATTATACTATACTAATTATATATTATACTACATAGTGCATAGGGACTATATTATTATAATCGTAAGGTTTTTTGTACGCTCGAGACGGTTAAAATTTTCCACGTACCAAAGTGATAATAATGTCTGTAATTTATATATTTTTAATGTATAAATGGATTTTTTAACACAAATTTTTTTACCCGCGTGGATATGGTTTCGATTTTCAGACCTTCATTATGATTTTTCACATACATAACATCACGCCTTTTATCCCCGATTATAATCGGGTGCATAGACACATTATACCATTGTACAATGTAACACCCACTTTTCACTATTTATGTTATGAGTCCCATGTAATAGGGGTAAGCCTATTGCCATATACCGGGCACAATTCCAGACTCCGTGCTATTACTGAGAATTTAAAAAAAACCCAATGATACTTTGTCCGACACGGGAATTGAACCCGAGACCCCTTGCCCGGCAGTCGCCCTTGCGACCACTCGGACAACGAGACAGGGTATGATTTTTCATTTTGAAAAGAATTTGACTATAAGACCATGATTAATCCTCGACACTGAAATCCCACCACTGAAGATTGAAGGCTGATTAACTATACATAGGATACAATTTAACATGCAGTACATGTCTTTGCAACTCAATCGTTAATTAATTAAGTAACTACTAAGAAGGTCTGAATGAATTTACCATGTCAGTTACAGAAATAGAAGTTAGTTATAGAAGTGTATTAAACGATATAAAGGTGTGTCCAGAACTGACGAACTCCGCAGATATGGACACACCTTATAGAGCATAACATAACATAATATCACGCCTTGTATCCACGAAGGGGTAGGCAGAGGTGCACATTACGGCACTTAATGGCACTGTACAATATAACACACTTTTCACAATTTATGGTCCCATGTAATAGGGGGTGACCCTATTGCATATAGCGGACATAATTCCAGACTCCGTGCCTGACATTTTTTTTAAGAACCCAGTAATACTTTGCCCGACACGGGAATCGAACACGAGACGCCTTGTCTGGCAGCCGCGAAGAATTAGACAAAGATTTTCATTATGGAGAGTTGTTTTAGTCAGTTCATTCAGATATTCGAGTTAGACCAACTTTTTTTTTTGTTTTTTTTTTTAGGTATATCAAATTTACATTATAGTAACCATATTATAGAAATAACTTACAAGAAGAATTTTCCCACTAACATAAAATTTTCTTTTGTCAACAGAACAGAAAAAATGTGTTGCTAAACGAGAGCCGAAGACAATTTTTCCAAGATGGCCGTGTGCTCGGCCGCTGTGATCGTGGAGAAGGCCAACAAATATTATGGCAGGCCTGACAAGCCAGACTTCAAGCCTGTCCTTAAGGACATGGATATGGTCGTCGATAGGGGAATCATGTAAGTATTTTCTAAATCTATTTGAAATTAGCTTTTACCGACGGCTTTGTCCGCTTGAAGTTGCCTATGTCCTTTTCAGTACGTCCAACAAACAAGGAGATGGCCTGAATTAATTATTATATTATTCGGTTTACTCACGTAATTATTTGACGAGGAACTCGACTAGTTTCGAGCCATGCTAGAGGCTCACGAAGAGCAGCATTCCGCGACCCGCGTCGATGCGTCGGCCGTATCGCTACTAGTTATGTCTAGCATGGCTTGAAACTAGTCGAGTTTCTCGTCAAATAATTACGTAAGTAAGCCGAACAACGTAATAATTAAATGAGATGGGCTAAGTGTATAAAGCGTAAAGTGACAACAAATGAACAAAGTTACTTTTTACATTGATTATATTATTTGGGTACAGTCTCACTTCTAGACTTGGGTAATTTAGAAAAAATAAAAAACATCATTAGTCTAAAATATCTGAATTACAAAGCAAAACTTTCATACACGGTTTGATCTTATTGACATCATTCACACGGTGGCTGAATAATCAGGTGTGAATGTGAAACACGTGTAAGTCTAAATTCGGTTCTCTGACAAATCAATTAATCTAAAACTCTTGAAACATTCTTTATTCTTTTTTTTATGGCCTAAGCCGGTAAACGAGCAGACGGATCACCTGATGGTAAGCAATCGGCGTCGCCCATGGACACCTGGAACACCAGAAGCGTTACAAGTGCGTCACCGGCTTTTTGGGGATTAGGAGTTTGAGGATCGTTGGGGATTCAGGGATTGGGGAGATTGGGGAAGGGGAGGGATGGTAATTGGGCCTCCGGTAACCTCACTCACACGACGAAACACAACGCAAGCGTTGCTTCACGTCGGTTTTCTGTGAGGCCGTGGTATCACTTCGGTCGAGCCGGCCCATTCGAGACGAAGCATGGCTCTCCCACATTCCCACACTATTCGCATGAATTCGCGCAAAAAAGTACTCCACTTTGAAAAACCACTTCTAACTCCTATTCTTTCTACAGATACGGTCTTCTCGGGCCCTCAGGGTGTGGGAAAACCACACTACTGTCCTGTATAGTGGGAAGGAGAAAGCTGGACAGCGGGAATGTCTGGGTGCTAGGTGGAAGACCTGGTGAGAAGGGCAGCGGTGTACCTGGACCTAGGGTTGGGTATATGCCTCAGGTATGTTCAATGAATTTTTTTATCTAATAAACTAAATTAAATTAACTACAATGCCTTTGCGATAAATATTGCATACATAATTTTATATTTGCAAAGAAGCAATTGGCCAAATCGTATACAATACAGCTCATTATAATGAGACGACCAGTCTCCTCAAATCATGAATTCCGAATCATAAATCAGTTTTGTTTCATAAAAAACAATTCCAATATAACATAACATAACAGCACGTCTTTTGTCCCCAAAAGGGTAGGCAGAAGTGTAATATTGGCACTTAATGCCACTTTACAATGTAACACCCACTTTCACTACATATTTATGTTATAAGTCCCATGTAATAGGGGGTGAACCTATAGCCATATATCGGACACAATTCTACACTCCGTGCTACTACTGGGAATTTTATTTAACAACCCAGTATTACTTCGTTCGACCCGGGATTCGAACCCGAGACTCCTTGCCCGACAGTCGCACTTGCGACCACTCGGCCGACGAGGCAGCAACAATTCCAAAACATCGATAATAACAGTTCCAATACCATTAACGATATTCTTCTTTTTCACTTTTGAGAATTTCCAGACGAAAACCCCGAAAAACTGTCTATCATCCAAACTTAATCGCATTTACCCATTTCACAGGACATAGCACTAGTCGGCGAGTTCACAGTCCGAGACGCCATCTACTACTTCGGTCGCATTTATGGAATGAAAATGGAAAAGATGATGGAACGGTTCGATTTCCTATCCAACCTGCTGGACCTGCCCAGTGGAGGAAGGCTAATAAAGACCTTATCTGGAGGGCAACAGAGACGCGTCTCCCTTGCTGCTGCCCTGGTGCATGAACCTGAACTCCTTATTTTGGATGAACCGACTGTAGGATTGGACCCTGTGCTTCGAGAACGGTGAGTTAAATAATTTCTTTATTTTCTGACAAGTTTTATGCAATGCGTCACCGATTGATGGTATATGTCCCACCCAAATGCACGCAGCGCTTCATATTAAGTTCCTTGTGCGTCAATACGCACTAGGAACGCAATCTAAGGAGTGGAATTCTTTGCAAGAGTCTATGTTTCCTGAAGGATATACTTGGATGTCTTCGGCGAAAAAAGTGAATAGGTTGCTTATGCGTCGACGTGCTCTATCGTAGACCACATCATCGCTTACCACCAGGCGAGATAGTGGTCAAATGTCGGCCGACCAAAAATAAAAATATGAATTAGGTAATCAGGACCTGTTTAATGTCTTCAAGACTATTCTCGTGAAACAAAATAGTTAGTGGTATCTTCCATTAGAAATAACACACAAAAAAATAAACGATAAACAGAGAAAACTGAAATTAAGACCAAGAGTAAAACTGAGCAATTGAGTGAAAAATTGTATTATTAGAGAAAGGTGAGGATCAAAGATGATGTAGTGACACGGATTGAAAGGGAATGTTACGCTGGTTTGGACATGTAGAAAGGATCGATGAAAGTAGAGTAAAACAAGAAGTATACAGAGCGGATATGAATGGGGCCGTAGGTAGAGGGCGCCTTAGACGGACATATACTGACCAGATTGGCGATATATTAAAGAAGGGCCAAATTAAAAGTATCCTTAACTGATGACCATGCATGAAAAGACTGACTGTTGATGAAGCTAAAGAGGCGTATCGTAGGAATTGGCGTTCTATATTCTCTGCCTACCCCCATGAGAGACAGGCATGAAGTTATATATGTATATATGAAATTAAGACATATTGTGAGACAGATACTTTAAAAAATACCTCTACAGCCAAATATTTCAACTTTGCAAATTGACGTCATAAATAGCATCTACCATGATCACGTTTTTCAAATAACGTCACCAAAAATATAAATCCTATTAATATATTATTTATGACAGTATTATAATGTAAATATTGACACTAATACCGATAATTGTAGTCGCTTATTTTAACAATAATTCTATTATGATAAATGAAGAATGGAGAAAAAATATAAGCGTGACTTCATGGTGAAAGGTTCTGTATGTATGTATTTGGTATGCAGTTAACAATAGAAGATTGAAGTAGTCTTGGGATGACGATATGAAACATTTAAAAAAATTAAAAGACCATGTTGACAAAAATGGTGTCTTGTAATATCAAAACTATATAACATAATATCACGCCTTTTATCCCCGAATGGGTAGGCAGAGGTCATTACGGCTCATTATGGCACTTAATGCCACTGTACAATGTAACACCCACTTTTCACTATAAATGTTATGAGTCCCATGTAATAGGGGGCGAGTCTATTGCCATATATCAAAACTTCTATAATATAATTGATACTGTTGCAATCATAGAAAATACTTACATATACATATTCAGATGCATTGAAAATTTTAAGTATACAAATTATTCATATTCAGTTTCATTACAAACCATGTTTGTGATCGACACAAACAGACCGCAATGTCTCACTTATATGTTTTTATAGGTCCTTCTGCTCACGGAATCATAATTCATCGCTTGAGTAGAAACAGAGAACATTATGTAGATTTTTTTCTACTGTTTTTGCCACTAGATAATAATAGGTAGTACCTAAGTCATCAATTTTACTTAGCCTTAAACAAATATGATGTTTTTACTTGACTAAGAAGACCGCAAAATATCTTTGACAAGTCTATCTGAATAGTAAAAACATGAATCAACACACGATAAATCTAGTATTTACTTGGTTAGTGTTTGAAGTGCGTAATCATGAAGGTGGATAAAAAGCAATAGAAAAATATGTTATACCTCTATAGACTTGAATGAACTTTGAATGAGATTATAATCCATAGATAAGTGGCTTGTTAATCGGGTAACGTTCGATAGTCAGATTGTGTAAAAAAGTCATTTATAGCCAATATACAGCGTTGTTGGTGCTATTGAAAAAAAATATATTTTAATTACTAATAAGTAATAACCATCATTCAGCCCAACTCCATCCACTCCTAGACACCTCTACAACGGCACACCCATTTTTTTTTGTGAAGGGAAGACATCAATGACTTATGATGACAATCCCGCCCTGGGTGAGGCGGGAGAGAGTGTCACACTCTTAACTGACTGAAAACCACCCCGGTTCTACTCCTGCTCTTCGATTCGAAGCCCCGGCAACCCGTTAAGTCCTCTGCGGCCCGAATCATGCATTAGCACTACTGGGCCCCATCTGTGGTGGTCTGATGGCACTTTGAGGCGCACAATAAAATACTTCTGTATTCGATTTTCGCCTCCAACTACTGCCAACCAATCTACGGATATCGTCACTCCACCTAACTAAAAAGCGCCCTATACAAAGTTTGCCTAAACGTGGTCTCCACTCAAAACTCATAAATACATCTCGATCATAAGTTCTGCCACAAACATGTCACAAGTTACATTATTGCGCAAAAACATGTTCTCTTATAAACATAAATAATGATGTGTGAATCGTCACATCACATTAATTTATCAGAGACAAAAGAGTCCCTCAAGGTTTTTTGTAACCACATATATAATAATAAAATATTATAATAGGTACCTCGTATTTATAGGATTTGAAATAGTCATCATAATGTTCAATGTCACCATTTTCCTAAGTACATAAGTACCTATTTATTTAAACTTTCAGTTTTCGTTGGTTTACGTCATCGTTTTTTGTGAAATATTTAAGAACTTATGCTGAAATATTACTAGTTGATGTTGGGGAAATTTCAGCACATATCTTAATATTCTAGTCATATCGTAAATCATGTATGAGTTCACTTAAAACAAGAAGCGGAGGTATTTCGACATTGCACTCAGTTTTCATAATATATAAAGCTCTTGTATTATCAGTGTTAAAACAATTATCGTTAGGTTACTTCAAACGCTCCATACAGAACTAGGAGCCCCGCTCAGCGGGGCTTCGACACTGCCTCGGTATTACTTCTGTGAAGGGAGGATTTTTTTTTAAGGGGGGAAAATCATCGAATGTCTGCTCCCGTCTGGGTGAGGCGGGAGGGAGTGTCAGACTCTTACTGACTAAAAACCACCCCGTTCCTTCTCCTGCACGTCGAGCCGGAGCCCCGGTTACCCGGGAGGATACGATAGAATGTCCTAAACTAACTAACTACATACGTATAAATAATTAAAAACCTAGTGTATTTGCTAAGTTTTAAAGTGCAGGAACCCGAAAAAATCATCGATTTTTGAATAACCCTTTACCAAGTGTTACCGGTAAATGTTAACATTAAACAACATAATTTTACAGTAACATATTAACAGCTTTTAGCCTTTTACAGTAACATATTATGTACATCATCATCATCATCAACAGCCTATAAATGCCCACTGCTGAGCAAAGCCTCTTTTCACACGGAGAAGGTTTGAGCATTAATCACCACGCTTGCTCAATGCGGGTTGGCGATTACAAACTTATAATAGTTATTATTAGAAATTTTAAGTCCAGTCTCATGATATTTTCCTTCACCGTTTGTCAGTGGTGTCTAGATAATGTTAGAAAGTACATATAACTCTGAAAAAGTCACATTGGTACTTGACGTTGCGTTGGTAGGTTTCGAACCCGCACCCTCATGCATGAGAAGCGGGCGTTTTAAACCTCCGGGCCACCACCACATATTATGTACTATCCACATCAATACCCAACACAGATTACCTTAAAAACTCACTTTCTTCAACACAAAAGAACTGTAGCCAAATAATATCAATTGTCCAAACACAAATGTCCATTGTTCTTACGACAATGACACGGATCGCTGATAATAATGATAACAACGTATTGTGCATCAGAAATCATTGCGTCATATCATTGAATTTCTTTCGGAAATGCCAACTTATACAGTTTACTTTGGGAGTTACCTTGGTAAGTATTTGTATATGCTAAGGTCATTTTGTGAGAAAGCAAGATCTTTTGTAAAATCTCGAAAGTTCTTAGGTAGGTCACAGTCTACCCTGGAAGGCAATCAGGGAGGCTCTTGTTCATCACAGGATTCCTTCCTATTTGCAGAATATTGTCGGGGCTTATCTGCACGACCGGCACATTCGCTATGTGGGCCGGGACGGTAGCGTCCAGCGGAGGGAGATTACATGCGGAGTTCCACAGGGATCTGTCCTGGGTCCTTTATTGTGGAACCTCGCTTATGATGCGGTCCTGCGTGTCGAACTTCCCGCTGGTGTCCATGTCATTTGCTACGCAGATGACACGTTGGTAATGGCCAGTGGAAGTACCTTTGAGGAGACTATCCGGCTTTCAGAGCTCGGGGCGGCAAAAGTCGTGGCTTCAATCCGCGAACTGGGTTTGGAGATAGCGCCTCATAAAACTGAGGCTCTATGGTTTCATAAGCTGCCGAGGACCAAGGAGCCACCCAGTTCGTCAGTCCACGTTGGAGATGCGCAGGTCCAGGTTGGGCGATACATAAAGTATTTAGGCCTGACCTTGGATGGTCGGTGGGGCTTCGAAGAACATTTCGAACGCCTGGTCCCTCGAGTTGAGAAGGCTGTAGGTGCTCTGCACAGACTGTTGCCTAATATTGGGGGACCTCGAGAAGAAGTTCGCCGCCTCTATGCGGGTGTCGTGCGATCGATGGTCCTTTATGGGGCGCCTGTTTGGTCAGCCCGACTGTCAGGCGCCCGACGCTGTAGAGCGAAAATTTATCGTTTGCAGCGGAAAATGGCCATCCGCATCGCACGAGGATACCGTACGGTGTCTTTTGAGGCGGCAACTCTCCTGGCTCGCTTTCCGCCATTGGATATCCTGGCGGATATGGATGCGAAAGTTTACGAACAAATTCGTGCTGTCCGCCAAAATGGCGGTAGAGTGCCAGGAGTGGCGTTCGTTAGGCTGAGGCGGCAGGAAAGGCGACACGCGCTTGAACGGTGGCGTGAGCGGCTACAACAGCCGGAGATCTCACG